ACCTCACCCGCGTTTGCAGCAACCGGAAGGAGGCCATCGGCTGGTACGAGAACGAAAAGTGCATGCTGCGCTACTCCGACCGCACCATAACGGGCCTCGATGAAATTGGGCCTGCTTACTTCGTGTGGAACCTCAACGACGCACCCAACGCCGACCAGTTCAATCGAGTGGTGAAGAAGCTTCTGGATGGCCTCAGGGACACGGCGGCGTCGGCTGCCAAGGGTCGCAAATATGCGGTGTCGACTGCGACGGGCCCAGATGAGCAAGTCATATATGGGCTTGCGCAGTGCACCCCTGATTTGAGTGGGCGTCAGTGCCTTGACTGCTTGGTCCAGTCCATCGCTGAACTTCCACGGTGCTGTAATAACAGGATAGGTGCCAGAATTATTAGACCAAGCTGCTACGTAAGGTACGAAACCGATTTTCTTTTCTTTGGGCCTCCTGCACCCGCCGCTTAACCCAACAGCTATTTCCTTTGTTTGTAAGCTTTAAATACTTAACTAACGTAGTTTTGTGATTTTAATAAATATAATGTTTAGAAAAGTTTCAATTATAATACAGTGTTTGGATCAAGTACTAAAAGGCTCGTCTCTCCCTACCTGTATTTCATCAACACATCACTTTACTCGTTTTAGTAGTAACTGGAATTCTCGTGCCAGTATTTGTTAGTTGTATTTTTATTCATGTATAGAGTAAATAAATTAATAAAAAATAATAATGAAAGAGTTAATATAAATTTTCACTCTTAATAATTTGAGAACTATTTCTTCCACAAAAATAAATTATTTTTTCTTACTGTATTTAATACGTGAGGCTACAAATTTCTTCTATAACTTAAAATGTAATTACAAATTTTATTATATGAAGATTGCCTGAGTATATTGTCTCGCAACTAATAACATAATTTTTAAGGTAATATTTTCAAACTAAGTTTAACTAATAACTGTAGACATCTTGCACTTAGAGCTGTCAAAATAGGTAACTTGTCTTGATTTGATCCGGCCTACCACGGATTTGTGAGTTAAACAGATTGACCTACTTACTCATTTAATTATAAATTTATTTTAAAATAAAAAAATATTAATTTTTTAATTTAAATCTAAATAAATTTTCATTCTAAAATATGTTAAACTCCAAAGACAATTCAAAAAAAATATCATACAATCCAATCCAAAAACAAACACAAAATACGAACAAATAAGTTTTTGATATTGATAATTTTTATATCACTAATACATTTATAATATTAGAGTCTTGATAAATCTTTAATATTTTTAGCTCTTAAAACATCTTTTTTTTATCCCCATCTACAATATAATAAAAGAAATGCTAACTATAATATTGAAACACAAAATAATAAATAATTAAATTAAATTAGGTGGGTTGGTGAATCAACCCAACTCACTATGGGTTCAACCCAGATAAGTCGGTTCTAAGTGAGTCAGATTAAAAACTAACCACCGTAAAAAAAATTATATTTTGACAACACTACTTGTAGTTAATATTAAATTTTAATTTACAAAAAGTACATAAGACATAAGATAAGATAAAACACGTGGAAGACTTTTAGTAATTCGTTAATTACTTCGTCACTCAAAGAAAAGGAATGTCAACACTTCACATCAGTGGCGTATCCCCTGGGAAGGCAGTTTGTCTCCACAAGATTTTATTAATAAGAATGGCATAAAATTATTAAAATAAAGTATTTTATTATAAATATTTAGAAAGCAGTTTATGTAAGCTATATTTTATATTAGTATAATTATTTTAAAGATATGATTATAATAATATAAAACATATATGTTTTAATTCTTGTAAGTAATGGTTTTATTTTAAAATTAAATTTAACATGATTTAATATTGTTTTACTATTTAAACAATTGATTATGATTTCTTTAAGACATGTTTTAATTTTACAATTTTATATTCTCTTATTAATAACGTAATTATGATTAAAAAAAGATAATCACATATAAGACAAACAAACACAATAGTAAATTAATTTATAAAAAATATATCATATATTAAGGAAATATACTGTGTTACATTGCCATGTAGTCTAAATTATTATATAAACATAAATCATACAATCAAAGATTATTTTTAACTCAATTATTCAAATACATGCATTGAGATTTAACTAGAGATATATATTTGTGGTGACTTCTACTACTTTACATAGTTATTACTAATGAGTTTTGTCTTACAACACACGATATTAGTCCTTCTCGTGTCTTAAGTCATGGAAAAATTCATAGACTAGGAGATTCTGTTACTTTCAGAACATAATATAAGAAAACATAGAATTCTTAGAAAAATAGGAATAGTTTTATATAAAAAATTATTAAGGTATTAAATTTTTTTATATAACTTAAACTTTTTATCATTAAAATATTGTAATGTTATATGCTCTTTAAGCCATTTTCTATGTTGTTACAAATATATGTTTAATAACCTTTTATTTTATTCTATTAAAAAACATTGTTATCTTTTTAAGACATTTTAAAATAAATATAAATATTTCTAAGAAATTCAATGATTAAATAGTTATAATATTTTACTTATATTTTAATATTTTATGCTATTGGAAATATTATATAATACTTTTATAGTATAAAAATAATTAGAGCAATTCTCATTTACAAAAGGATAAGTTTTTTTTTTATATTTTTATCATGAAAGTATATACATTTTGTAAAAACTTGTAATTTCTTTGGTATAAATATATTATAAATTATTTTTTTATTTTACTAAATAAATTTTGTGAGAAGCTCCGTTGATATTGGGCGACTTACCTCTAAATTCCGAAGGACTATTAGCATCACAGCAAACATTTAAATTGATATCAATTTTAATAGCTTTTACTTTTGACCGTTGAATTTCAGACACCAAAACAAAATAAGACGTGTGTAAGTGTATTACACCTAATCCAACATAATTACAAGACGTTGGGTTAAGATTTATTCAATACACTCAATTAAAACTGAGTTCATATATTTTGAATTCAACCTAATTGAATTATTTACTCAATATATGATAAAAATATTACGTGTTTGACAATTTCATTATAAAAATAATTTTATATTTTATTACATAAATATTATTTATATATGCATAATAAATATAATTATTACCTTATAATTTAAGAGACAAAATGTTAACGAACTCAAACCTGTAGCCTTTATGGGAACAAAAATGAGAAATCTACGGAAAAAGATAAATCCTTGAGTCTGAAACCAAGAAGTTACGAGAAGTGCCATATGCAAAAGTAGAGGTGTCAATTTGACTTATGACCCTGGAGCTAATCCTAACTCACTTTTAAAAAAGTCCCCTCTTAAGAAGCTCCTCAAATGGGGGTCAAAAAAAAGCTCTAACCCCCAAAGCCCCCTCTCAAGGGAGTTAGGGTCAGGGTTAAAGTGGGTTTAGCCCACTAAAATTTTTTTGGAAACTAAACTTCAACATTCTTAATAGTAACTATTAAAAGTACTAAATTTTATATTCATGTAATTGATTTCTTATTTCAAATTATTAAATAAAACTAATTAATTATAGTATAATAGAATATTTAATATTCAAAATAACCACTTTTTTAAATAATTAAAAACAATTGCAAACCACACACTAAATTTTATACAACTAAATAGTATTACAAATTTATTTTACTGAAATATTATAAAAATGCTTTATTTTGTTAACAATTTTAATTAAATTATGTCTTATGTTGCAAACACCAATTATTAGAAAATTATATATAATTAGTAATATCAAAATAACCCCAAAGAGAGATAATAACATATTAATTTGATTTAATATTTGCACTGCTTTTACAGTTCTTAAAACGAATCACTGTTTTGTTTCCTCGACTTCTAAAACATCACTCAATCTGCTTTTAATTATTTAAAATTAAAATAATTCAAAAATTTATTATCTAAATTTTTTTATCAAAAATAGTATTAATATTTTATGTTTAAATTAAACTTATGTTTTATTTTGTTTTTTTCTCTCTGATAATCTTTTCTCAAAATCACCATAAGATATANATCTATCTGTATCCAAAAACTTATATAGATGATTCTTCTTAGAAAAATACTGTTAACAAGTCATAGTTTAGTTTTCCAAAAATCGATATAAATGAATTTATTTATGTAAATACAATTTAGAAGAGTTAATCTCTGCAACTTTCTTAAAAAATATGTAAGAAAGAAAAACCCATTATGAATTAGGACCGATAAGAAATAAAAGATTTATTAAAATGGTAAGAGAAAATACTTAAATATATTTTTTACTTTTAAAGTAATTGAATTTTAATTAGAGATATCAGTTTCAAATAAGTTAATTAAGAGTTCTAATCGGATTAGATTAAAATAAATTAAGTTTTTTTTAATTGGTTAAATTGATCAATTAGACTTATTTAATTTTGAATTAAACGAATTCTAAATAGACTGAAGATAGGTTAACTCGTAACAATTATTTATTAATCTTTTATATATTTTATTACTTTTCTTTTGCAATTATTTACTTTTTTAATTACATAACAATTTGATTTTTTAAATATTAAAATAATATTTTTCGATAATATATTAAAATAATTTAAATATTATTTATTTGTGAAGTTATGTAAATTTATATTTTCATTTTTAACTAATATCTTTATAATAATATTTCATAATAATGTTTTTCATAAAATAAGAATACATTACACAATTATTACTTTGAGTATAATATAATTAATAAATAAAATAAATTAGAAAATCAAAACATGTTAGTCGACTTATGGTAGAACCAAATTCATGGCTCATAAAAAAAAGTGACAGTTGAACTCACTATTTTTAGTTTAATCTATGATAAACCAATTAATTCCCTTTGACATCCCGATTAAAAATTACTTTTAGTTTTTCTAAATTCGATTTTCATTTATATTGAATAAGAGAAATAAGAAACCTACCAATTAAATATGAATGGAGATAGAGGCTTGAATCCTGGGTGATAAAAGCTTAGCGGTATATAAAACCTAGCCATCTATTGTTAGTTCTTATTACTCGAAAAGCACAGCCATAATGGGTAGCTGTTCTTTCTTGACTTGCTTTCTTTATTTTCTGGTTTTCATGGCTACAATCACATCTCAAGCCAAAGCCGATGTAACTTCACAAGACTTCCACTACTTCTGCGACTCCAACAACGACAGAGGAAACTACACAACCAACGGCATCTATAGCCAAAACCTCAACAGCGCTCTCAGCATCGTCGCTCTCCATGCCTCCAGAAATGGTTTCTTCAACGTCTCCATCGGCAAGGGCACAAACAGCGCCAACGCCATTGCTCAGTGCAGAGGTGACGTCACGCCAACAGAGTGCACCAACTGCCTCGCCCAAACCAGAGCCAACCTCACCCGCGTTTGCAGCAACCGGAAGGAGGCCATCGGCTGGTACGAGAACGAAAAGTGCATGCTGCGCTACTCCGACCGCACCATAACGGGCCTCGATGAAATTGGGCCTGCTTACTTCGTGTGGAACCTCAACGACGCACCCAACGCCGACCAGTTCAATCGAGTGGTGAAGAAGCTTCTGGATGGCCTCAGGGACACGGCGGCGTCGGCTGCCAAGGGTCGCAAATATGCGGTGTCGACTGCGACGGGCCCAGATGAGCAAGTCATATATGGGCTTGCGCAGTGCACCCCTGATTTGAGTGGGCGTCAGTGCCTTGACTGCTTGGTCCAGTCCATCGCTGAACTTCCACGGTGCTGTAATAACAGGATAGGTGCCAGAATTATTAGACCAAGCTGCTACGTAAGGTACGAAACCGATTTTCTTTTCTTTGGGCCTCCTGCACCCGCCGCTTAACCCAACAGCTATTTCCTTTGTTTGTAAGCTTTAAATACTTAACTAACGTAGTTTTGTGATTTTAATAAATATAATGTTTAGAAAAGTTTCAATTATAATACAGTGTTTGGATCAAGTACTATAAGGCTCGTCTCTCCCTACCTGTATTTCATCAACACATCACTTTACTCGTTTTAGTAGTAACTGGAATTCTCGTGCCAGTATTTGTTAGTTGTATTTTTATTCATGTATAGAGTAAATAAATTAATAAAAAATAATAATGAAAGAGTTAATATAAATTTTCACTCTTAATAATTTGAGAACTATTTCTTCCACAAAAATAAATTATTTTTTCTTACTGTATTTAATACGTGCGGCTACATATTTCTTCTATAACTTAAAATGTAATTACAAATTTTATTATATGAAGATTGCCTGAGTATATTGTCTCGCAACTAATAACATAATTTTTAAGGTAATATTTTCAAACTAAGTTTAATTAAAAACTGTAGACATCTTGCACTGAGAGTTGTCAAAATGGGTAACTTATCTCGATTCGGTTCGGCCTACCATGGGTTGGTGGGTTAAACAGATTGACTCACTTACTCATTTAACTATAAATTTATTTTAAAGTAAAAAAAATATTAATTTTTTAATTTAAATCTAAATAAATTTCATTCTAAAATGGTGTTAAACTCCAAAGACAATTAAAAAATATATCATACAATCCAATCCAAAAACAACCACAAAATACGAACAAATAAGTTTTTGATATTGATAATTTTTGTATCACTAGTACATTTATAATATTAGAGTCTTGATAAATCTATAATATTTTTATCTTTTAAAACATCTTTTTTTTATCCTCATCTACAGTATAATAAAAGAAATGCTAACTATAATATTGAAACACAAAATAATAAATATGATAAGTGTGAAAAAGAGTTGTTTTATACTTATAAATGAGCTCAATCTTGTAATTATTCATGTTGTTTCTGTCAGTCAATTTAGTTAAGAAAATTTGCATAGCGCACTAGTACATGTGCGCCTGAGCGAATTAATGAAGTTAAATGACTTTAAAAGACGTGACAGAAAGACAGAAACATGCTTCTGACAGAAGTTCCGGACAAAAGAAAGAAACGAAAACATTTCAGGGAGACTACTTCAAGGCATCAAGACAACATTGTTGTAAGGGATTGCTTCAAATGTGTACGTTTTAGATGACTAGGGGTAGTTAAATTTCTCTTTCGTTGGGATTGGATGTAATGAATTCACTGTGTATGTTTTTTCTTGAATTTATTATCATTGTATGAAAATATAATGTTATTTGAATGTCTTTGATTACTGGAAAGTAAGTTTGAACATGATCGCACTTAAGTGATTTGGGTTCTAGGGATAGACTCAATAACTTTCATTCTTAACATGACACTTAATGCAAATTGTATATTAAATTGACTAATGGATTATCATTTTAATATATTAATTTAGAACTAGTTGTAAGGGATTAAGACTAGTATGCCTTGATGTGAATGCTTGAATCAAGTAATGAAATATTGAATAGAGTTTTATATTCATATGATTCTCATGAAACTCAATTCTAACTAAGTTTCTTTAAAATATAATTTCTTGCACACCTATTGTTTGATAAAAATATCAAAAAGAGTTTCTTGTGTTATTTTGTGCATTTTAATGTATAATTGAGTTATAAAAGAAAGAATTGTGATGTGTTGCAGAAGTCGTTTGGGACAACGATACTTTTACTTATTCATATTACTTGGAACGATTTGGTATACTTGCCAAAAAGTTATCAAAATAATTAAATTAAATTAGACGGGTTGGTGAGTCAACCCAACTCACTATGGATTTAACCTGGATGAGTGGATTCTAAGTGAGCCAAATTAAAAACTAACCACCATAAAATAAAATATATTTTGACAACACTCTTCACCGATGTAGTTAATATTAAATTTTAATTTACAAAAAGTACATAAGACATAAGATAAGATAAAACACGTGGAAGACTTTTAGTAATTCGTTAATTACTTCGTCACTCAAAGAAAAGGAATGTCAACACTTCACATCAGTGGCGTATCCCCTGGGAAGGCAGTTTGTCTCCACAAGATTTTATTAATAAGAATGGCATAAAATTATTAAAATAAAGTATTTTATTATAAATATTTAGAAAGCAGTTTATGTAAGCTATATTTTATATTAGTATAATTATTTTAAAGATATGATTATAATAATATAAAACATATATGTTTTAATTCTTGTAAGTAATGGTTTTATTTTAAAATTAAATTTAACATGATTTAATATTGTTTTACTATTTAAACAATTGATTATGATTTCTTTAAGACATGTTTTAATTTTACAATTTTATATTCTCTTATTAATAACGTAATTATGATTAAAAAAAGATAATCACATATAAGACAAACAAACACAATAGTAAATTAATTTATAAAAAATATATCATATATTAAGGAAATATACTGTGTTACATTGCCATGTAGTCTAAATTATTATATAAACATAAATCATACAATCAAAGATTATTTTTAACTCAATTATTCAAATACATGCATTGAGATTTAACTAGAGATATATATTTGTGGTGACTTCTACTACTTTACATAGTTATTACTAATGAGTTTTGTCTTACAACACACGATATTAGTCCTTCTCGTGTCTTAAGTCATGGAAAAATTCATAGACTAGGAGATTCTGTTACTTTCAGAACATAATATAAGAAAACATAGAATTCTTAGAAAAATAGGAATAGTTTTATATAAAAAATTATTAAGGTATTAAATTTTTTTATATAACTTAAACTTTTTATCATTAAAATATTGTAATGTTATATGCTCTTTAAGCCATTTTCTATGTTGTTACAAATATATGTTTAATAACCTTTTATTTTATTCTATTAAAAAACATTGTTATCTTTTTAAGACATTTTAAAATAAATATAAATATTTCTAAGAAATTCAATGATTAAATAGTTATAATATTTTACTTATATTTTAATATTTTATGCTATTGGAAATATTATATAATACTTTTATAGTATAAAAATAATTAGAGCAATTCTCATTTACAAAAGGATAAGTTTTTTTTTTATATTTTTATCATGAAAGTATATACATTTTGTAAAAACTTGTAATTTCTTTGGTATAAATATATTATAAATTATTTTTTTATTTTACTAAATAAATTATGTGAGAAGCTCCGTTGATATTGGGCGACTTACCTCTAAATTCCGAAGGACTATTAGCATCACAGCAAACATTTAAATTGATATCAATTTTAATAGCTTTTACTTTTGACCGTTGAATTTCAGACACCAAAACAAAATAAGACGTGTGTAAGTGTATTACACCTAATCCAACATAATTACAAGACGTTGGGTTAAGATTTATTCAATACACTCAATTAAAACTGAGTTCATATATTTTGAATTCNAAAGTATTTTATTATAAATATTTAGAAAGCAGTTTATGTAAGCTATATTTTATATTAGTATAATTATTTTAAAGATATGATTATAATAATATAAATCATATATGTTTTAATTCTTGTAAGTAATAGTTTTATTTTAAAATTAAATTTAGCATGATTTAATATTATTTTACTATTTATACAATTGATTATGATTTCTTTAAGACATGTTTTAATTTTACAATTTTATATTCTCTTATTAATAACGTAATTATGATTAAAAAAAAGATAATCACATATAAGACAAACAAACACAATAATAAATTAATTTATAAAATATATATCATATATTAAGAAAATATACTGTGTTACATTGTCATGTAATCTAAATTATCATATAAACATAAATCATACAATCAAAGATTACTTTTAACTTAATTATTCAAATACATACATTTGAGATTGGGTTAACTAGAGATATATATTTGTGTGACTTCTACTATTCTACATAATTATTACTAATGAGTTTTGTCTTACAACACACGATATTAGTCCTTCTTGTGACTTTAGTCATGAAAAAAATTCAGAGACTAGGAGATTCTGTTATCTCATGACATAACATAAAAAAAAACATAGAACTCTAAAAAAAATAGGAATAGTTTTATATAAAAAATTATTAAGGTATTAAACTTTTTTATATAACTTAAACTTTTTATCATTAAAATATTGTAATGTTACATGCTCTTTAAGCCATTTTCTATGTTGTTACAAATATATGTTTAATAACTTTTTATTTTATTCTATTAAAAAATATTGTTATCTTTTTAAGACATTTTAAAATAAATATAAATATTTCTAAGAAATTCAATGATTAAATAGTTATAATTTTTTACTTATATTTTAATATTTTATGGTATTGGAAATATTATATAATACTTTTATAGTATAAAAATAATTAGAGCAATTCTGATTTACAAAAGGATAAGTTTTTTTTTTATATTTTTATCATGAAAGTATATACATTTTGTAAAAACTTGTAATTTCTTTGGTATAAATATATTATAAATTATTTTTTTATTTTACTAAATAAATTGTGTGAGAAGCTCCGTTGATATTGGGCGACTTACCTCTAAATTCCGAAGGACTATTAGCATCACAGCAAACATTTAAATTGATATCAATTTTAATAGCTTTTACTTTTGACCGTTGAATTTCAGACACCAAAACAAAATAAGACGTGTGTAAGTGTATTACACCTAATCCAACATAATTACAAGACGTTGGGTTAAGATTTATTCAATACACTCAATTAAAACTGAGTTCATATATTTTGAATCCAACCTAATTGAATTATTTACTCAATATATGATAAAAATATTACGTGTTTGACAATTTCATTATAAAAATAATTTTATATTTTATTACATAAATATTATTTATATATGCATAATAAATATAATTATTACCTTATAATTTAAGAGACAAAATGTTAACGAACTCAAACCTGTAGCCTTTATGGGAACAAAAATGAGAAATCTACGGAAAAAGATAAATCCTTGAGTCTGAAACCAAGAAGTTACGAGAAGTGCCAGAGACTTTCATGCAAAAGTGGATGAAAGGAACAAACAAGAGTAGTAAGTCCACACGCTGAAGAGATCGGGCCATTATATTTTAACACCTTTTTTTAATAACTTTTTAATAATAAATTATATGTTATTATTTTATTGTTCTTTA